GGGTTTCTTTTGGTCACAGCATTGCACTAAGGCTGTTTGGTTGGTTGAAGTTGAAATTAAAAGTCATATCTCAGCTGTGGCTCTGAACTGCTGCCTCAGCCTTTTGCTTTCCACTTTTCTGCAAGGCATGGAAGTTGTGCAGTCTTGAGAAATACACATTTTTGTTGGTTTTATTTGTTGTTCCCATACAGTCACTTGAGAAATAAAATGCAAAACCCTTGTAAAACTTTAGAAAACTTGACTTTTGAGGTCAAATTATCAGTCAAAGTTTATACGAGGTATCTTTTATTCCTATTTTACTTGTTAAATGTAAATGTACTGATGCTTGTCTGAGTCCACACTTTTAGGAAATCTCCAGTCATGTAACTACCTCACAGAACTAGTGCAAATGTCCCCCCAAAAGAAGCAGCTCATAGGTGTACAGGCTATATTTGTGCTGTTTGGTGTTACCTAGTGAAACTGGACTAGTATTTGCAGTACTGTAAAGAAAGCAGTTCTCAGAGACAAACAGGGTCTGTCTGTCCTATTGACCACACTGGGTTTCCCTAAGGTAGCCTAGATGATTACAGCCCTCTGCAGAATACTTTTAAGATGAGCACTTGAATAACCTAATATTGTGTAAGAAGAGTAAGTCCTTCAAATTTCCTGGCCATTGAGTGTTAGGATTTTCAACCTTATTGTTGCTTGAACATATGTTTTCCAAAATATTTATACAATAACATTCTGCATTTATGTAACACCTTGTTTCATTGAAGCATTAAAAAATGTCCTGGAACTGTAAATTAAAATGAAAATGCAATGCATTAATCACCCAATGAGTTTTAAGAAATGTGATACAAATTTCTTGCATGCATAATAATCTAAAAGTACATTAGCAGTGTTGTGTTTGATGGAACTGTTAAATAGTAAGTGTAGTGGTAGACTATCTTAATGCCTTGGGTAATAAAACTGAATGTAACAGTTCCAAGATTTCTCCCTGGTGTGCTTTACCTTGGACATATGTTCTCCATCACTGATTTCAGCAGAATGTTACAAGTTGGAGGGGAAAGAGAATAGACCAAAACATACTGGAAAATGATGCTCTTCCGAGAATGCTGGGTTTGGGAGCTTTTGGGTGGAGCTTTTTGGCAGCTGATAAAAAAAAAAAAATCTGTAAAATACAAAATACTGTATTTATTTTATAATCTTATCTGTTCACCTAGCTCTTAAATGTCAATGTAGAGTTCTGTGCAACGTATGCAAAAGCAATGCTAATAGAACCACAAAGCAATTAAAAAATCTATTTTTTCAGCTGTGCTGTTCTCTTTTTTTCCGTCTGCACATCTCTGTGGGAGCTTTGTAGAGCAGATCTGCCTTTCATGGTGTGCTCTGGAGGCCAGCAGCCCAGCCCCAGGCACGGGCAGCCAGCTGTGCTGCCCCAAATGCAGTATCTCTCAGCTGGCAGGGCTGTAGGTATCAGTTGCACCCTCTTGAGCACAGGTGTGGCAGGAACCCTCTTGTGCCAGGAACTGCTGTTTATCAGCTTCTAAAACCTGAAAGTTTTAATCACAAAATGGATTTCTGGACCTTTTTCTGACTTTTTCTAAATTCTGTGTGTTGTATAATGCAGGGGGGAAAGCAAACTGAGATATCTTTATTTAAAGACCAAAGTGGAAATACAG